TCGCTGTCCCCACTCCCGGGTCGCTGCCAGGGCCGGGGGGTGAGGGGAGCGATCCTGTTACACCTCACCCCAGTAACAGGAGCGGGCACAAAGTGCTGCCAAAGCACCTGCTCCCCGGCCCCCCCCCGCTGCCCCCGGATCATCTTCCCAGCCAAGCCCGTCCCTGAGCGGGACCTGCCGGGGCTGCCACAGGCTCTGACCCTCCAAAAGCAGCTCCTGGGCTCATCCCAGCTGCGAGTCCCAGTGCTGGGGACAAGCCCTTGGGCTTTGCAGTGTGTCCTCCTAGTGCTGGGGGGGGGCAGGACACACACCAGCCCCTGGCCTTTGTAGGGACCCCAACTCAGCCCCGAGCCCCCCTGCACCAGGGAGGGGGGGGGTGGGCACAGAGCACACACAAACATAACCAGGGACAACATCTCTTTCTTTTTGTTTGTTTGTTTGTTTAAACATTCAATTTAATACCTTTTTAAAAATGAAAATAGTTTCCTTTAGTGATTTAGCAAATACTTAAAACCTGCCGTGGGGGGGAGTGGGAGGGGGGGCTGTGAACGTCTCCAGGAGCTGCTACCGAGCTGGGTGGGTAGAGCTGGGTAGATATTGCACTTGTGTTTCCTTCCTAAAAGTGACTCTCTGAAGGGCCTGAAGAGCCCCCCCCCGGGCGAGGGGCTCTCCAACCCTCCTCTGTTTCCAGCTTCAGCCCACCCTGCAGCCAGGGCAGGGGGGTCGGTCCCCTGATGTCCCCCCCGAGGACACCAGGCAGCAGCCTGGCTTTGTTGGCTCAGAACGCACCTCTCTCTCTTGATTTGCTTCCAATAAAACCATTCACTTGAACTCAAAAGCTTGGAGACAAAACTCTTGTCCACTGGGATCCCGGCTGTGCTGCCTCGGGGAACCACCAGGGAAAATGAACTGGGAGGGGGGAGGTTTTGGGTGGGGATGGAGAACGAAGCGTGAAGCCCAGATGAAGAGAAGCTCCTTTCCCCCTGATGGTTTGGGGTTGTTTTTTTTTTTTTTTTCAGGTCGCCTTTCTGCTTCTCATCCAGGGGGGCCCAAAGTCCACGAGGAGGTTGGTGCCAGGCTCCCCGGGCTGCTCTGCTGCTGCTTCAGGACCCGGGAGCTCTGCCCACGCTGCCCACGGACCGGCCCGGGGTGTCCCCGGGGGAGCCGCGGGGTGTCCGTGCTGGGGTTGGACCCCCCTGGGTTCAGCACCACCGAGCCCCTCCTGGCCCCCACCTCTAGTCTCTCCTCTTGCCCTCCCTGGGCCTGGCAGTGCCCTCGGGCTCCCGGGATCTCCTGCCCTTCTCCCTCCTCGGGCTCTCCCTGCCCGCCCGGCCCTTCCCCACTTCCCTCCTGGGCTCCTCCCGCTCCCTCCGGTTCTCCCTCCCCTCCCGGCCCCATTTCTTCTGGGGCTGCTGCCACTCCCGGGGGGCCCTGGGGGCTCTGCTGGGTCTGTCCCTCTGTGCCCTGTCCTTGGCTCGTGCTTCCCTCCAGCTGCTTTGCTCCATCCGGGCAGCACGGCCCTCCTGGGCCTTCTCCTCCTTCTTCTCCTTCCTCTCTGGCTTCTTCTCCTTTTTCTCCAGCTTCTTCTCTGGTTTCTTCTCCCGGCTCTTCTTCACCTCTGCTGCAGGCAGTGGCACCTTGGGGACATCTGGGGGCTCCTCATCCCCTTCCTTCTCATCGTCATCCTCTTCATCCCCATCTTCTTTGTCACTGTCCTCATCATCCCCATCCTCCTTGTCCCTGTCCTCTTCATCCCCATGCTCTTCGTCCCCATCCTCATCATCCCCATGCTCTTCATCCTCATCATCCCCATCTTCTTTGTCTCCATCCTCTTCTTCTCCATCCTCTTCATCTCCGTCCTCTTCATCCTTGTTCCCTTCATCCCTGTCCTCTGATGTTGAGCGGCCAAACCACTTCTTGAAGATCCAGGGCTCTGCCTGGGGGGAGATGGAAGGGACAAGATGCCAGTGACACAGCCCAAGGGACTGGGACCCCTCTCCATCCCTCCCACCAGAGATGAGATGCTCCCCTTGTGGGAGGTGTCCTAAGGATGCTGCTTCTCCCCTCACCCTGGGCCCGTACCAAGTTGCTGTCAGCCTCATCGTCATCATCACTGGTGTCATCACTGGTGTCATCACTGGTGTCATCACCATCATCGCTGCCACCATCGTCCTTGAACATGGTGCCCTTGGGCTGTGCTGGCTGGGCTGTCACTGCTTCTGGGACCTCCTCCTTGGCGCTGACCACCTCTGGGAGGGGAAAGGGAGAGGCCACCATCAGCAGGGTCAAGGCTGTGTGGGATGCCAGGTCCCAGGGCCACCCCACCCTGACCCCATTTCTGGCTGGATCCAGGATATTGGGGCAGCCTGGAGCACCCAAACCCACCGTGAAGGGGAGGGGGTGGAGGGTCCTGCCTGCCACGACTGACTCCTTCCCTGGAGCACGGTGCTGGAAGAGAAGAGGGGACAAGACACAGGAGGTGGCCACAGGGTCTGCCCATTCCATACCCCTCCCTCCGGCTCCTGGCTCACCTTGCAGCACCTGGAAGGTGACACTGAGCAGGGCGACGACTGAGGCCACCAGGATGCACTTGTTGAGGGTCAGCCCTTCCCAGAGGAGTGGCTCCTCTGCTGGGTCCAGGCTGGAGGGCTCCCCCTTCCTCTGCACGGGGAGGCTCCTGGGGACTGGGGACCCCCAAGGGAAACAGCATTACTGGGGGAGCTGGGAAGCAGCAAAAGGGTGCTGGGGGGATGGGGAAGGAGGGGCAGAGGAAGGGGCAGAGGTCACCTGTCCTGCCACCACCAGCAGAGGAAGGTGTTTGCACAGCAGAGGTGGGGAAAAGAGGGTCTTGGGGACTGAGTCTGGGGTGTGTGGGCCATGATGTGTTGCAGCATCCTGGGGCTCCAGCAGGGAAAACCTCTGCCTGTGCCCCCAGCTCTGCTGCTTCCCCCCCAGCAGGCCCGGGCAGGGAGGAGAGGAGGAGGAGAAAGAGGAGGAGGAAGAAGAGGAGGAGGAGGAAGAAGAGGAGGAAGAGGAGGAGGAAGAAGAGGAGGAAGAGGAGGAGGAAGAAGAGGAGGAAGAAGAGGAGGAAGAGGAGGAGGAAGAAGAGGAGGACAGTAGGGCAAGAGGAGGAGGGGAGTTTGGCAGGTGGATGAGAAGCCCCATCTCCATGTCACTGAGCTCCCAGGGGAGAGCAGATCTCATCCTGTCACTGCTCCGAGGTCAGATGGTGCCTCCTGGGCTGGCTGGGGACACAGGGTCTGTGCCTCCCGTGGGGCCAGCCCGGCAGGTTTGGGGCAGGGAAGGGCTTTCCCGCATCCCCACCTGGGGG